TTTCTTCGGTCCATGCCGCATCCTTCAGGCCGTCGGTTCTGATACTGCCGCTAGTCCGGTCAGCTTCCGTGTGAAGCTACCTGATTACCTTCGACAGGCTCGCGTACACGATGTTTACCACGTCTCCTTGTTGCGTCCTTATCGCAGACCATCCGAGCGCTTCACCGGACGCCCTTATGAGCACCCTCCACCTATCATGGTGGACTGTCACGAGGAGTTCGTTGTTTCCGACATCGTATCACGCCGAGTTACCGACGATACCCCTCCACGCATCGAATACCTTGTGCGTTGGAAGGGCTACCCTGATGAGGAGGCTACTTGGGAGCCCCTCGAGCACTTGCAACACGCCAGGATGTTTGTGCGTGCATATGATCGTGCTCGTCGTGCTGAGACATCTGCTCCTACTCAGCCGACTGACCCTCTTCCTCCTCCTCCGGCTGAGGAGATTGCTCAGGACGAGCCCGCTCCCTCTGAGGCCGTTCTTCAGCCGCAAACGGTCGCCTCCGAGCGTCCACATCGCACTCATCGTCGCCCTTCGCGTTACGATGACTGACACTCTTATCCTCTATCTTTCCCCACTGACTCACACCATCAGGTACTCCATCATCATCTCTTCTTCAGGATGTCAGCATTTTGCGGCTCTGCTTCGACATCGACTCCACTGCTACTTCATCGACGTCATCGACCACTTCAGGTACTTTGGACGTGACTACTTCACGTCACCACCCTACCCTGCATACTCTCTTGCCTCTGTCGCATGATGGTTCTCACTTAGCTGGGTCTCTTTGAGTTTGGCTCTCCCTTGGTATCGCATAGGCATTGGGACCGTAGCGTTATCTTGGCTTCCTTGCTCCCAGATCTAGCTCCCTCTCCCAGTCGCTGAGTTGTGTGCAGGTTTCCCTCACCCACTACCCTCATCACCCTACCGCGGGCTATTGCATGCCTCCTGTTCGCCATAGCTCCACCCTCTTCCAGGCTCCCCTTTTCATGGTCGACCCTGCAGGGTGTCACCCTTTTGTCGAGCATTACCCGCCTTGATGGTCTATCTGTTAGGGTCATTGGTTTTGTTTCACTACCACTCTCCCACCTTGAGCCTGATGACCTATCCCACCTTCATGTGTGCCTGCCCTTAGGAGTTTCGATTCTTAGGCTACATTCACCCACTCTGAGACCATCCCACTCTTAGTGGTTCAGCGACATGACATTATCTTGTGACATACTGCTCTTTTCCTTTCAGCACTGAGGTCACTGCCTCCAGGACTTTAGGATTGTATCATACTACATTTCATTTTCTGCTGTTAGCTAGGATATGTATTCCAGACATTTGCTTTTCTTCTGACATTATGTCGCTTAGGATGCATCGCATGAACTCCGCATGGAGCTTGCTCCGCATCCTAGATTTCTCAACTTTCTTTATTGCAAAGTTCCGCTGCTTTTGCGGATAGCGTGTTTACGGCTCTTGCAATCCATTACAGGTCTGAGGATCGTGCAGCGGGCCTTCATCTGCCCTGGCCTACAGCCAGGGCCTATTTGGCTATTTGCCCAATTCGGCCTGTGGGACCAGGCCGTGGCCTGACCCCACAGGCCGTGTGTTGTTCTAGTCCTGCCCGGTACCACTGTCGGTACAAGGCCAGTCCAGTCCCATCAGTCAGTCCGCTGGGGGTATACCCCAACAGATATCTGTTTTTCGGCATTCTTCACTTTCGCAAATCTTGGAGTACGTGCGTGTGCAGTCTACTTCGGAGCTGCGCTGTCCTTTCCAGCTCCATCTCTATCTCCTCCTTCGTCCACCCTTCTTCTCCATCCTGTCGGACCGCCATCCCGGCGCGTCCGGCACAGTACTGGTGTATTTCGCACCTCATGCATGCGAACCGTGACGTTCGACATTTTGGACACGGACTTCGACATCATTCTGGGAATGCCTTGGCTTGCAAGTGCGGATCACACGGTTAACTTCCACCGGCGGACTCTTAGCGTTCGCGATGCCTTCGGCGCCGAAGTGGCGTGTACTATTCCTCTTCCGCACACTTCAATTCGGTGCCAAGTGGTGATGGCCAAATCATTCCGGGCGACTTGCGCTTACGAGAAGCCCGAGGAAATCGGCCTATGTTTCCTACGGACTCTCGCGGTAGCCGACTCTTCACCCACGGACTTGTCTTCGGACCCCCGGGTGGTGCGGTTGCTGGACGAGTTCGTCGACATCTTCGAGTCACCTACCGGTGCGGTGCCGGATCGGCCGATCTCTCACAAGATCATTCTTGAGGCCGGTGCCGTGCTGCCGAAAGGTTGCATCTATCGGATGAGCGAGGAGGAGCTTGACGTCCTCCGTGCACAACTCGACGACTTGTTGGCCAAGGGCTGGATCCGCCCTAGTAGCTCCCCATATGGAGCACCAGTTCTCTTCGTCCGGAAGAAGAACAAGGATCTACGATTGTGTATCGACTACCTCAAGCTCAACGCGCAAACCGTCAAGAATGCGGGGCCTCTTCCTCGCATCGACGATCTTCTTGAGAAATTGGGCGGCGCAAAGTATTTTTCTAAGTCGGATTTGAAGTCGGGATATCATCAAATCTCAATTCGGTCGAACGATCGCTACAAATCCACGTTCAAGACGCGGTACGGGCATTTTGAGTGGGTGGTTATGCCTTTTGGCCTCAACAATGCCCCGACGACCTTTCAAGCGGCAATGACCAACGAGTTCCGTGCAATGTTGGACCGGTTTGTGCTGGTCTACTTAGACGATATTCTCGTCTATAGCCAGACATTGGAGGATCATCTTGGGCATCTTCGACGAGTGTTGGAGACGCTCCGCCGCGCCAAGTACAAGGCCAACCGCGACAAGTGCGAATTTGTCCGGCAAGAGCTAGAATACTTGGGCCATTTTGTCACACCGGAGGGCATCAGTCCGCTATCATACAAGATTCAACCCATCCAAGAGTGGCCGGAGCCTCGGAACATCACGGATTTCCGTTCGTTCCTTGGCCTCGCCGACTACTATCAGCGTTTCATCAAAGGCTACTTGAAGATCGCGGCCCACTTGACCAAGCTTCAATGTGAGGATCGGTCGTTTGACTTCGGAGAGGAGGCATGGGAATCATTTTTGGCTCTCAAGGCCATGCTATTATCAGCGGAGGTCTTGCGCATATACGACCCGCTTTTGCCTACGCGCGTCACTACGGATGTGTCCGGCTATGGCATTGGTGTCGTCCTCGAGCAACACGATGGTGTGGATTGGCACCCGGTCGAGTATTTCAGCAAGAAAGTGCCCTCATGCACTCCATTGACGATCCACGCAAGAAGGAGCTCCTCGCCTTCGTCCACACGCTCAAGCGGTGGCGGCACTTCCTCCTTGGTCGAAGCCAATTCCGATGGGTAACGGACAACAATCCATTGGTCTTCTATAAAACCCAAGACACCGTCAACAACACCATCGCTCAATCACATTCCTGGGAAGTAGAACCGTTTTGCGGATGCTCTTCCATTGGTCTTCTATGAGACCCAAGACACTGTCAACAATCCATGGGCTTTCATCGACCAATTCGTCTTCTTTCCCGATCACATTCCTGGGAAGTCGAACCGTTTTGCAGATGCTCTTTCACGGCGTCCGGATCATTGTACCGCGGTCTACTCAACCTTCGAGATCGACGACGACCTGCATCCGCGACTACCAAGCGGACCCCGAGTTTTGCGACAAGTATGCAAATTGCTCCTCTCCTAATCCGGCGCCTTCTCACTACCGGATCCAAGAGGGGTACTTGCTTGTCCACACACGGGGGAAGGACCTTTTTTGGGTACCAAGTGATCCTCACTTGCGTACACGGTTTCTTGGCAAGTTCCACAGTGCTCCCGCCACCGGACACTTTGGCGTCAATCGCACGATTGGGAGACTTCGCGAGCGATTTTGGTGGTCCGGCCTTCTCGGCGACGTCACATGCTATTGCGAGTCATGCGAGGTTCGCTGACGCTGCAAATCCCGCAACCGTCGTCCATACCGCGAGTTACGACCATTACCGGTCCCTTTGAGGCGAAGGGAAGCGATTGCCATGGACATTACCGGCCCATTCCCCAAGCACAAGACCGGCGTGCATGGGATTCTCACGGTGGTCGACCGACTCACCAAGTTCGCCATGTTTTTGCCTTTTCGCTATCATGCCAAGGCACTGGAGTTGGCCAAGGTTTTTTACGCCGGTTGGATTCGCACGAAGGGTTACCCCAAGGAGATCGTCTGCGACCGCGACACTCGGTTCATGTCCGATTTTTGGTTGGCGCTCATCAAGCGATGGGGCTCATCTCTCAAGCCCAGTTCAACTCGCCACCCCCAAACCGATGGCCAAACAGAGAGGGAGCACCAGACCGCATAGGTTCTCCTTCGCACTCTCGTCCGTCCTGACCAGAAGGATTGGGTTGAGCGGCTGCCGGATGTCGAGTTGGCCTACAACTCCTCCATCCACCCGGCTATCTGGGTGTCGCCCTTCGAGATCGAGCACGGTTCGCCGGTCACTTTGCCGTTGGACACCATCACTCCTTGAACGGCCGAAAGCGACGATCATCTTCTTTTCTTGCGTCGGATGCAAGAGCTACTTGTCAAGGCACGCGATCAGATGGCCAAGACGCAACAACGCATGAGCCAACAGGCCAATCGCCAGCGTCTTCCTTGCCCATTTCGCGCCTGCGATCTCGTTTGGGTCTCCGCTGTGGAATTCAGCCTTGAACAAGATATCTCTCGCAAGCTCCTCCCGACATGGATGGGGCCTTGGCCGATCGTGGCACCCGSTGGGGATGCACCCGAGGGACCTTCCTTCACTATTCAGGTGCCCGCCCACTTGCCCGTCTACCCAGTCTTTCATTGCTCCAAGTTGGCTCTTTACACGCCAGTGGAACATGACGATTTTCCCGGGAGACGTTCGCAAGACCCAACCCTCTATGGAAGGTTTTCAGGACGTCGGCGACATCATCTCCCAGCGACGCTACGACAACAGGCCAACCGAGTACTTGGTACATTATGCACACTGCACACATCGAGCTGACCGTTGGTTGACCCGTGCGGAACTTCAAGCAACAGCTCCAGACGTTCTCGCATGCTACGAACGCAAGATGCAAGGCAAGCCGGTCTCTTCGGCTCCACGCCGCGCCCGCGTCCAGGTTCCACCTTCAGATCGTCGGCTTCACCCTCGCCCCGGCTTGACTTCATAAGGAGAGGGGGGTGTTACATGCTGCGCCTGCACATGAGGGCCATTTTCCAGGCCCTGCGTCCTTCAGGCTAAAAACCTGAATTTCAAGCCGAAAGCCTGAAAACCAAGGCCTACATGCCCCGTGACCATTCAACTCGAAAGCCTGAAAGACAAGGGCCTACAGACCCTGTGTCGTTTCAGACTAAAAATGGCAGTAGCCTTTTTAGCCTGAAACGAAGGGCCATTTCCGGTCTGTCATCACACCGGCCTGCCCTGAAACTCAGGCACCGAACCAGGGTTTTAGCAACAAGCTATTTTTGGCATGTTCCCACGACAGCTGCAGCGCCAGCCCCTAGCTCACTTCGTCATTGGCAAGAGCAGCCTCCTGGACTGGCCGCCCTGCAACTGCAGGCAGTCGGAGGCAGTCAGGAGGCAGACCGAGATAGTACATAGGGACTTCCCATACACTTCACAGGTAGGCAGGAGGCAGTCAGTAGTCTTCAGGATTCGGCAGCAGCACTCTGGAGGAGCGCTGCAGTGGTAGTGGCGTTAGCATTAGTCTTCAGCGCTGGGCGCTAGTAGCGTAGCTGAAGTCTTCAGTGCTGGGCGCCATAGCTAGGATAACACTAGAGAGCGAGAGATTGGGCGGAGGCCAGGGGTACTTACCTGCACCGCCGTTGCTCCAGCTTCGTCTTCGAGGTACCTACATCTTCGAGGTACCTGGAGCACAGCGCCAACTTCACAGGTTAGTACCTGGCTCGTGACAGGGAGAGAGTTCTTCTTCTTCCTCTTCTCAATCACTGCATCAGCAGACTACGAGAGAAAGAGAGAGAGAGAGCTTGGTGACATTGGATTCAGACTCGACTTTTGGGCTTCATACATTTCGACGAGGGATTATTTGGGACTTGTGACAAAGACTCGGTGTTAACGACATTCCCATCTCTCCCCCTCTTCTTTGTCTGATCCCCTCCTCTTCGTTTGTGTAAGTCTGGACCTGGCGCTTCCTCCCTGTGTGTAGTGCCAGGCTCCTTCACACCTTGTGATGAGCATGATGTATGTTTGGTCTGCGTTGAAACAATGATTGGGCTAGTCATCAATATTCTAGCATTCTGCTTCGCTATGTCTACTACGCGAAAGAGGTCAGTCTCGATCAGGTCAGGTCTTGTATCTGAGTCTTCCCTGCGCTATTCAGCACCATTTTGTATGTATCAGAATGCACATTGCTTGTTGAGGTTCTACTTGCACTGCATTGTCCATTCAGTACTTTTTATCACATTGCGGATCCTCGGTTATTATGTACATCGCCCAACTGGGCATGTAACACCTACCCTATACCTGTACATAGACCCTGTGTGCTGAGTAGGATTCAATCCCTAGACCTGTTCCGCATCCCAGATTAGTCTGTAGTTTGGGCAGTAGGACTTGATCCCTAGGTCTGTAGATTTGCAGCTAGGTCTGTTACCGATAGGCTTAGGAAGTATGTTCTAAAAGTCTCTACGAAGTCTGTTGAGGACTGGAATCTGTCTGTAGGTCTGTATAGTCTAGAAGATCGTAGGACAGTCCAGCCAGCAACTACCAAGGGTAGGGGCTGTTACCGATAGGCTTAGGAAGTATGTTCTAAAAGTCTCTACGAAGTCTGTTGAGGACTGGAATCTGTCTGTAGGTCTGTATAGTCTAGAAGATCGTAGGACAGTCCAGCCAGCAACTACCAAGGGTAGGGGCTGTTACCGATAGGCTTAGGAAGTATGTTCTAAAAGTCTCTACGAAGTCTGTTGAGGACTGGAATCTGTCTGTAGGTCTGTATAGTCTAGAAGATCGTAGGACAGTCCAGCCAGCAACTACCAAGGGTAGGGGCTGCACGTGGGGAAGGTTCTGAAGCACACTGTGGGTTTCACACGTTTTGGCCCAGAAGGCCAAACGTCTGGAAACTTCCCTGGGGCACACGTTTTGGCCCAGGCCTCCAAAGAAGTATAAATAAAGAGGCAGCGTCCAGCCATTCATTCATTCGCCTGTGAGCCATGCGGAAGAGCTGCCATGGTATCTTGTGTGTGGAGGTCTGCAGGTGCCCGGCGATAGCCGCACAGCTGTTGGTGTAGACAGAGTGTACAGAGTGAGTGGCTGTGCAGTGTGGACATTCAGGGTGATCCTCGTACATGCGTGCAAGCGAGAGTGAGCGAGACTGAGGCTGGTGGTAGAGACTGTTCGGCGGCCATAGCCGCATGAAAATGTCAAATTTTGGCCTCTGATGAATATTCAGGCCCGCCTTCACTTAGGGCGGGCACTCGGCTTGCTGGAGGCCTACGAGATCGAATCCAGATGGAATCAGATGAATACAGTAATGCCAGGGTCTACCCCCTTTTATTACAAAAGATAGGTACGAGTACTTCAGAACATCTGCACAAAGTATTGGAAATTATAAACCGAGAAACAATCCACTAGTCTAAGTTGTCTGGGGGAGAAAAAAACAAAGAAAGAAAAAAAGAAAAGAAAAGAGAAGAGAATCAAGAGATTTGACTTATCTGATCAGAATTGTGTGCAGTTTCCCTTCTGGCCATCACATGTTGGCCGCATGTTAAATAAGTAGGTTGTAGACTCTCACTTACACTGTCACACGTTCGCCGCATGTAAAATAGGTGGGCAGTAGGCTTCATAAAAAACTGCCTTCAAATCGGTAAGATACACATAGACCATCACATGTTCATCGCATGTAAAATAGGTTGGCAGCAGGCTTCAGATAAACAGCCTTGAAATCGATAAGATTATTAAGATACACATGACAGAAAATTTTGCTGCACTTGGGAAAGATCAGAAACCACCATCCATGAGACTACCTGCAAGCCCTTAATAAATACCCTTACCATCTAACTCTCCCCTATGCCTCATCCACCAACGTGTGCATAGCACACTCCAGGAGCACGCCACTGACAGCCCTTGAAAATCTGGAGCTGTGGGTACCTCTCACACCCAGACATACTAATAACGGCATCAGGTCTCCTAGGTGAGCAGCCTCTGGTCATAAAAAAAAAAAGGTCTACAAAATTAAACATTAGAGACTGGATGTAACTCAGTCATCTCAGCCACTGGCCTCATGCTTCAGCCATCATGCTCTGTTTTAGCATTTTGTCCTCCTTTGTTGCATACTTCGATGAGTATGGGCAGAACCAAAGATCAACCAATATAGGATGAGCATGTATGCAGCAGAAGTCTGATAAACGAACTGACTCACATAGACTGACCTACATGGCATCACTCCACACACATACAATCATGAGATGGTGGGGTCTGGGTCATTCATAGACGATACCCAGATCCCGTACACACATACACAGATGAAAGGTGGGAGGAGAGACGAAGGAGGTAGGAGGTAGATCACACCGATAGGTCACAAAGATAGAGTCTGATAGGTCTCCGAAATGGTAGTCCAGAATGT